AAAGGAGACAATTTTAGAGAAGAAAATGTTTCGGTCGCTACCCGGATTCGAACCCGGGACCTTTGAATGAGAGGCCAACACCTTAACCTCTAGGCCACGAGAGCCCCCTTGACTCTCTGTGATGAAACTGTCTCTTGACTCTATGTGATGGAACTATCTCTTGAACTCTGTGTGATCGGTACTATCCCTTGTCTCTCTGTGATGGAACTTCCTCTTGACCCTCTGTGATGGAACTGAGTGCGCTGTTGTTTACATGGATGAGTGTGGTGCTGTGTACAAACTAGGTGTGATCCTATCACTAGTATCACATACCCCTGGGCTATCCTGTGAGTCAGGCGGCATGTAGTGGACAGTTGACTGTTGACCAGAGCTTACTGTGGATGACTGGATAGGTATGACTCAAACCACTCTGGATAGATAGATAGATAGATAGATAGATAGATAATAAATAGCATTTGTATAGCGCATATCCCCGCTAAACAGCAGGCTCTACGCGCTTTACACTATATTATTACCCCAGCAGACCATAGAACACTCAGAAACATTCTCAGCTTCCTGGGAAGCATACAGTGCAAGCAGCTGATTAAGCGCTCAAACACTAACAAACTGACTAGATCTTTCGCTGTCTATAGCCGGGTACCCATTCCCACCTGGGTGAAGTGAGGAAAATTCGTGTAAAGTGCCTTTCCCAAGGACACAACGTCGGGTCCTTGACGGGATTCGAACCCACGACCTTACGGTTGCGAGTCCGAGAGCCTAACCACTAGGCCACCGACGCCACATGATAGATAGATAGATAGATAGATAGATAGATAGATAGATAGATAGATAGATAGATATGGGGAGGAAGCAGGCACAGAGTAGGATAGAGAGAGTAAGATTGATAGACAGAGCAGAGAGGCAGACAGACAGACAGACGAACGGACAGAAATTAATAATAAACAATAGTTAATTGAGAACCAACTTTCCTAGCACGGTGTGTCGGGCTGTGTGGAGCATCGACAAACCTTTGCTCTAGGCTCGTCACACTGTTGAGCAGATCCCACCTCGTGCTTTTTTCCTCGCCATGAGTGTCCAGTTCTTATCGTGCATTCACCAAATGATGCCAGATACTGTTTTGGAAACTAAAAAATGTACTTTCTCTCTTGTTTACTTCCAAAATTATTCAAAATTGTATGTACTGTAGGTTTCTTTGTTTGTTTGTATGTACGCTGTTTTGTTGTTGCTGCTGTTGTTGCTGTTGTTGTTGTTGTTGTTGTTGTTGTTGTTGTTGTTGTTGTTGTTGTTGTGGCATTGTTTTGGGGTGGATGGGTTGTTGTTTTTGGGAATTTTATCAGAATGATTATAATATTACTGATAATCATGTACAGTTGGGAATAAGGCAAGAAATTTTGGAAACAAAACAAAAAAATCCGCTTGCTCTCATTCGGCGGACCCACTGGTCGAGATAGACTTTCTATTGCCTCCCTTACTTCTGACTTGCTCCACTTGGAAGGTTGTTTTCACTTGTCCAGTTCTTAGAAGAAGAAATCAGCTTTCTGAAGGTAACAATGATGCCGTTGTCGCATTGATCATAACTCAGTTCATATATTCGATAGAATACTCTACTGTGTGATGGAAATGATGCAAGTACCAAACACAAAGAAACGATGCTAGTAAACAGTGCAGTATCTACGTCAATCTCGCCCGCTCTGATGGCACAAGTCTAGTAGGTCTCCATTCGGAACTTCCTTGACTTCCTCCGTTCATCCGAGGTCTCAATTATATGTCAGGTCAACATGGACGGGGACTCAGGAAGTCGTTCGCGATACATTTAACCAAGCATTGTACATAACAAGATAGTTCACTCCTCTCTTTGAGCCAATTAAAAAAGTGTCCTCAAAATTCGGTGGCGCGCTCTTCGAAAAAGCGCGGACTTTGCAATCAGTTACCCTACTTATGTGAAAAGCAATAAAAGTGAAACTAAAAAGTCTCATTACAAAATCGATCAAAATTTCAAAAAGTACAGGGGATAATATACAGCCTTGTCCAACACCAGTGTTTACTTCAAAATGTGTACATAGTTCTCCTTCAACTGGAACACACAGCAGCGTGCATTGGCATATTGATCTTGTACAGTTTATTATTTTTGTTGGGATGCCATAAATTGCAATAACTAACCTTGGACAGTTTGTTCCCTAAAAATATGCGCAAAAATTCAGACCCAGGCTGTAAACCAAGTTTTCTGCTGTCCATAGGTATGCACAAATGTATTTTAGAATGTTATTACCAAAACTGAGAGTGTAACGAACGATCTACATAACTAGTAATCTAACACCATTAGCCCTGGACAGAGTTTATTTCCTGAAAATGTGTCTGTAAAAATTCAGACCCAGGTTGTAAACCAAGTTTGTTCTTTTATTGTTGTTGTGGGTTTTGTGTGTGTGTGTGTGTGGGGTGGGGGGGGGTTGTAAGTGTTTTACGGCGCTCGCAACTGCATAAGGTCATAAATGAGTGCGCGTGACACATTAAACTTTTTCAGTTGGTTGAAAATATTGGATTTTGCCGAGTGGCGGCCGAAGCCTACTCTTATTAATTTTAGACCACCAAGGGATCTGTAACGGGCGCAAATTGCACACGAGCCCTCCAAAATTGTTCGCCCTTCTCTGAGAAGATGTAGATCTTTCCTATCAGAAGATCAGGGGTGTGGCTGAAAGACAGCAGTAAGAAGGAGCCAAGGAGTAGCAGTGGAAAGGCAGCAGAAAGAGTCAGGGGCCCAGAGGAGGGGGCAAAGGAGGTGAGGGGGTGGGGTAGAAAGAGGAGACGAAAGCAGACAAGAGAACATTGCTAGAGAGCAGCAAAGGAGGTGAAAGGAGACAATTTTAGAGAAGAAAAATGTTCGGTCGAGACCCGGATTCGAATCCGGGACCTTTGAATGATAGGCGAACACCTTAACCTCTAGGCCAAGAGAGCCCCCAAACCAAGTTTACTGTTGGTCCCACAACTGAACAAGCACAAATGATTGGAATATAGGCTAAAGCAATAGAAATCGCTCCGCTCTATTAAATCTTTATAGTTCTTTGCATACGGTTCTTAAACTACTTAAAGTTGGATCCCCAACAGAACCTAAAGCCCCATTCATAAAAGTCACTGTACCCTAAGTTTCCGACACATTTTCTTTGATGTAAGCCTGATCCGGGTTTTAAAAAAAGTAGGGGATTTACAGCATACACCTAAAACATTTAAAAGTTGACGTATTATTTACTTCATAAAACACACTCTAACGTTCACCTGAGAAACACGATCCAAGAGACGGGGTAGATAATTTTCGTGACACTCATGGAACATGTGGAGACGTCTAGTCAATTTTCTTTAGGGGTGGAGGGGAATGAAATCTATAAGCTTAAAATGAAAGGTGGGGTTGGATGCTGTTGCTGTATCAAAATGAGCAAATTGTAGGCAATGTTGCTGTAAGTCATTTATTTTAGTGATCCAGTGTATTCATCCAAAGAGTGATTTTTTTTTATTACTCCATCAAGATTTCCTTGAAAACGTATTTTTATTTGGTCGCTGTCCTGCAGAAGAGCCAATCAAAGTATAATAATCAAGGTAATAAAGATTATCATAATAACAAAAATAATGATAATAATAATAATAATAGTAATAATAATAATAGTAACAATAATAATTACAATAATAACAAATATAGTAATAATAATAAATATGATAATGATAACAATAATAATTATTATTACTATAATAGTAAGAAGGGAGAAGAAGAAGAAGAAGAAGAAGAAGAAGAAGAAGAAGAAGAAGAAGAAGAAGAAGAAGAAGAAGAAGAAGAAGAAGAAGAAGAAGAAGAAGAAGAAGAAGAAGAAGAAGAAGAAGAAGAAGAAGAAGAAGAAGAAGAAGAAGAAGAAGAAGAAGAAGAAGAAGAAGAAGAAGAAGAAGAAGAAGAAGAAGAAGAAGAAGAAAAAGAAGAAGAAGAAGAAGAAGAAGAAGAAGAAGAAGAAGAAGAAGAAGAAGAAGAAGAAGAAGAAGAAGAAGAAGAAGAGTGATAATAATAGTAGTAGTAGTAGTAGTAGTAGTAGTAGTAGTAGTAGTAGTAGTAGTAGTAGTAGTAGTAGTAGTAGTAGTAGTAGTAGTAGTAGTAGTAGTAGTAGTAGTAGTTGAACGGTAGTAAATGCGGGGATATATTTTACTGCTCACTGCTAGCAGTGCACTAATCAATACGCGCGGCAACTGCTTTGGGTGCGAACGGCGTATAAATAATACTAAGATTTAATACGACTCAGCTACTGCGCAACTACTGCTCAGCTCAACTGCTTTTGGTGCAAACGACCACTTAGGGGCAGGGTGGTGTCTCTGTTTCAAAATGAGCAATTTGTGGGCAAAGTTACTGTAAATCGGTTATTTTAATGATCATGTGTATGCATCCAAAGAGGCAGTTTTAATATTGGGCTGAAGAGAAGAACTTTTTTGATTATTGGATCAAGATTTTCCTTAAATTGCTAGGTTGCTGGCATTCAGGAATGCTATGCAAAGTTTTGTAGGCATAGGTGAATTAATGAATGAGTGATAATCTTTTTTTAACACGTACAGACGAAAGTGAACAAGCTAGATCTATAGACAGGGCGCTGCTATGGCCGCTACTCCTTGCTCTCGCCCCCCCCCCCACACTAATACTATTTGGCTATGGCATTTCTCTGTCAGTAAGTATCTGACAACGTCAAATGAAGGATAAACCAAAAATAGTTCATGTGAATAGCAAACCTAAAAAAAAAACCCAACCCAAATACATGAATAAATAAGTAAAATAGCATGGCCATGCATGAGGGAAAAAAACTTAAATGTTTTTCTTGCCCACCAACTGTATCAGGAAAACCATGTGCCGTATCCGCTTTCTGGCTCAGCCTGGACACAGCCTTTCAAGGTTGGCAACAACAAAACGTGGATATGACTCGAGGTCAAGTTCGAGGCCAGCCATGCCGGCTATAAAAGCCAGGTTAACAGACGTCCAGGGCAATACTGCAGCTGCGAGGACAGATTGACAGAGAACACTTGCCTGGTTTACAGACGACCGAGTACCATGGCGCCCTCCTACAACATTCTGACACTGATCGGACCACTTTGCCTCATGCTCATTTCTGGAACGGGTAAATTTTACTTTTCTTTTCTTCTCGTTTGTTTTATTTCCTCTTTTTTCTCCTAATCCCCACGTCTTCGACTTCTTCTTCCTTGACCTGCTTCTGTCCGCGAACCTCTTGTGATCTGATCTACTCCCTCCCCCTCCTGTCCTCCTTTTATCACACCCACCCCTACCCCACCCCCTTCTGTTCTCCCTCTGTGTTTTGATATATCCTG